CATTTATTTTCCTAAATTAACGGTGCAGGTTCTTACAGTAAACAATTCAAATGCAGTTTTAGAAATACGAAAACTATATAAGGTTGATAAGTGCGTAGTAGCGTGCTGAAGCTTTGTTGGTTTATGAGAACCACTTAGCACTCTTTGTGTATATATTGTGTGATATTTAAGCAATAGAAATTTATATTCCGCAATTGTATTTGGTTATGATCATGTTATGGAAATTATTTTAAATACTGTTGTTTCAAATGAAAACGTTTTTTTTTTTAAAGATCCTACCGAATTTTAATTCAATTATCGTAATTATAACTATACTTAATATTATATATATGTTAATACCCCGATCTAGAACGAGATGTTACATTGTCCTTATTCGATTGAGTCACTTTGACCACGTTCAAATTTTCGGTAGATGGAAGCGGTAGTAGGGGTTTTGTTATTTTCAAAATTATTAGAGCTTAGCTTGGTGATTAACTCCATGAACTTTGTCGCCAAAAATTCAACTTCACCACTTTCGGAGCATACCAAATACTTGGCCGAGATGCAAAATGGAAATAAAGTGGGCTATGGATGACATTATTTGAAAAACTATCCACATTTTGACAAATTGGATTGCGACCACAACATATAGCTGATTTCATATTTGAGATTTGGATGAACATATCCCTCTAATTTTCTCATCCTTCATCCGTACCCATGCTCTGATACCAAGTTGGTACATGTATGAATTTTCCTTTCTTAAAAATGTGAAATTGAGCTCTACTGAGGAAGCTTTTCCTTAAGCACACGAGTGCAATAAAAATAAATAAATAAACTAATTCCCCCAATAATTTTTTTCCATAAAATAATAATTTAAATAAACTGAGAGAAATTAATAACAAACCATAATTTCTCTAATCACCTATCACTAATAATCAAAATAAGTATGGCATATCTCACTGCATACATAATTACTCTTTATTAGACTAAGTTAAATTATAATGACATAAAATAATAACGAATTTGTAACACAATCTCACCCTAATTAAGGAGTAGCCTAGTACCCAAAGTTTTTTTATTGGGCAAAAGCAGGTTGGAATAGTATTACAGGTGTGGCAAATACAGATCTAAGGCAAATCTGTCTTACGTCATATCCTCCACCCTTAATCTAAGTAAGCGCCATTTTTTTAAAAAAAAGTAAGCATATTTATTTATTTTTTTGGTAAATAAGTAAGCATCATTTTAGTACTAAAATAAAGTTTATTCATATTAAAAAAGAGATTTGCATTTATCATTTAACATGACACAAGAAAGTTTCCTGCACACACAACATTTTGTGGAATTACACTTTTTGAATAAAAAAAATTAAATGAATCTCTATAACATTACACAATCACTTTTTCTACAACATAATTCTTATAAAACCCTTAAAAAAATTACGAAACATAAATAGTTTTAAATGTAATTATTATTATGAAAAATAATTTTAAATTTTTGATTGATTATTGTATTAATTTTTATTAGGGTGATTACACTTAATCAAAGTTAGCACTTATTAAACCCGAGGGGCGGGCACAATTGGTAAGTGAATTGTGCTCCAAAGATGGGATATGTGTTCAATCCTTTGCAGACGCTCTTTAGGCCAGAGGTGAAAATCCTTGTACACTAAGCCTTAGATGGAGGTTTAATCTCGTTTTTCCTCCGGTGACAATAGTCCAATACATCCTCTGTTTCAATAAAGATTTAACCTTAGAGATCGTATCCTAATAACAATATGATTGAAAGAGGTTGAGTGAAGATACCTTCGTGAAACTAAAAAACAAAATAGGTAGCACTTATTATACATGACACCTTTTATTGGAAAATTACACCCGCGTCCCCTACTTTATGTATTATTATTGCATCTCGACATCATTCTTTGTTTATAAAATTACAAATACCTCCTTTACTTTATCTCTAAATCTTTTGCATGTCCTTTTGTAAATAACAACATAAGGGAGTTGAGTGTAATTTCTCAAACAAGAAGGGTGTCAGTGAAATAAAAACCTACCTTAGGTGAGATAAGTATAACTACTCAACTTTTATTATTTAAACTATGGAAAAGAAGTTACGTGATTTTAAATGACACATCTTGTATCCTTTTAAATGATACATCTTATGTCTTTTTACTCTCACAAAAAGGTGAGATTTATACTTTTAAAACTTTCTTCTCCTACTTTCTCTCACATGATCTATCTCTTTCTTTCATTTGAAATGATATAAGTTTATGTTTTTTAAAATGATATAAGTTTGTGTTCTTTAAAATGATACACATTTTCCCCCTAAAATATTTATGTCTCGGGTAAGACAGATTTTATTTTTTATTTTTGGACAGAAGACACATAGATTATGGTCCATGGATTTTAATATTTTCTTGTAAGAAGTTCGAGTTTTTATAGTTCAATTTCATTATCATATCCATGGTTAAGCTACTCTCAATCAAACAAAACCATCAAAATCTAATTCAGTTTTTCTTTTTCTTTTTTGCTGTTTTTCTTTAATTCCCCTTTCTTTTCTTTTCTTTTTCTTTGCTCCAAGCTCACTTGGGCCACCTTTTGTTTTAGGTCCAACATCTGGGCCACCCATTGTTTCACTTTTCGAGAAACAAGTATCAAAACACTTTGTGGTGCAGATTTCTCGGCCCATTGTATTGCTTCTTATAATGAATGCAAATGGAGCCCATCATTTGATCCTTAATATAATTACCCCTTTTTTTGAACCACGATCTCTTGACCAGCAATAGCATCAAATCCCTTCTTCTCATTCAATTCACATTTGGCCTTTCTCTTCTACAAGCTTGCTACTTAGTTATTCCATCAAGATAAATTAGCTGAACCTACAAAGTGGTCCAACCCTAACACTTCCTATTAAGAATGTAAGACTACCAACCCTAATCACAATCCAAGTCCTTGGCATTTCAAAAACTGTACTCACATAACCCGATCCATTCTTGGAAATCTGAATTTAAAGAATAATTAACCTTGGGTTGGTAGGCGTCAAAATATTTTCGCATCCAAATATCCAATAACTATACCTACCCTTTCTTTTTGGGTTAAATAGCCCACTAAGAAGGTCAATACTTTCTTTACTACTATTTTTTTTTCCTGTTTACAATATATTGAAGAGCAAAGTTACATTTACAACAAAAATTTGTTTACAAACAACACTATATACTACAAATAGTACATATTATTTGAGCATGTACTACCCGTAATATTAGTGTAGTTTATAAGAGTTTGTAAACAAAAAGTTTGTAAATATAAATATAATATATCCCTATATTAAATATAAAATCACTTGATATAATTGACATGTCAAATTAAGAAATCAATTCTTAATTCACAAAGTAATTAAATTTTGAAACTTTCACCTTAATCCAAACTCTTGTTTTTTTACCACTTTCTTTGTATGCTAAAGTGGATTTGAGCAACCACAAAGCATTAGTGGCCACACAATCACAAAGCATCAGACAGAGGAATATGGTGGACATCATTCAATTATTCTCTCTTTTCTATTTTTTTTTTTTTATTAGAACAAAGAAACAAGCTGAGAAACAAAGTAATTCTTATATAAATTTAATTTACGCAAGTGTAGACTCAGAAAGCATAAACAAACACATCATTGTTGATAATTATTCTACTGCAATAAGTTATATGGGAACCCAATATAGCTAGCATTTTTATTGTGTTAATTATTAGCATATATGTCACTAAAAGAGAAGTTGCGTATGAGAAATAGCCCAGACAAGACAATTGGTGGCAAAGTGAGATGCATCAAGGTGAGAACACCCAAATGGCTTGGCTGCCATAGCCAATGCCTTTTTATGCCTACCTTGAAAATTCCACTTCATGTGGTTTGGGAAAGAGACAAGAAATTTTCAATTGATCTACAATTCTAATTGATACCAAAAAGTATTTTGTATGTTGCAGGCCTTAAAAGCATCATTTGTGCTGACTTTTCAGGAATTTCTTTCGCTTTGTATCAGAGTGCCTCTTATTATTCCTTAATGAATGAAAACAAGAACCATAACAAAATTGTTACTTCCATATGGCTTCTGCAAAAATGTCACACTCTTTACAGTAATATAAGAAAATGGGTTTTATACTTCTTATGCAACAAAAGAAGACTCTCTTCATGCTATACTCACTGTTTTGATGTGCCAATATTTTTAATTTTATTTATTTACTTTTTTCCAGTGGAACTCACCTAAGTATATGTGTCCTGTAAAAATTGTCTTCTTATGTGTAACCCCTAAGAAAATTAGGATAAACCCAAATTTTCTCATTTGTCAAACCCTCCCTTACAGCACAACAATTTTCCCTTTAGATTTTCTGTTTAGCATTCAAAGACAAGCCACCTAAGTTTAACTTTAAATTGATGGGTTAGCCAACGTTTACATGGTTCATACTTCAAATATCTTAGAAGTTAATTCATGATTAAACCTGAAATATTGAGTTAGATTGATTCCTTTCTTATTGAGTAGAATTTACAGCTTATTACAAAGTTATTATTGGTAAGGGAAAAAGACCCAGAAAAGAAAAAGCATCTCTCTATCTAATCATTCACCACATCTAAATTACCCACCCTGCCAAACACCTTGAGTGCTATAGAAGGCAACATGATTGTCCTTTTTCTATTGCCATTGCTCCCAAAATAAGAAAACTAAAGAAGAAATTATCACCATCCACATCACTTACCTAACAAAGCTTCTTCCCAAGATATCTTGGTTAGCCAAATGGAGCAAAAAATAAAAAAATCAAAACACTATGGTTATGAAAAAATTTATGAACCCCACCCAAAAAAAAAAGTGTTTCCCTTACAAATATAATCATCCAACTATTTATATCAAGCATCAATTGTATTCTATACACTGATAATAAAATGAGGGAAAAACTAGTGAAGGCAACTATAAAATAGAAACTAATTTTCTAATAGCAATGAATGTTAATTGATCATCAATGAGAACAATTAAGGCTAACTTTGTTGTTAACTTGTATTATGCAAACAGACAGATACAGATAATGATCTGCGTAAGCAAAGTGAATAATGCAAACCCACATTGGATAAATCCAAATCCATAGATCTTAAAACAAAAAGATAATTATACTTTTCACTTTCTTGTTTCTCATCACCTTAATAATTTCGGAGAAAAAACTAAAAAAAAAAGGAGCAATAATACCCTTTTTCATACACCATGACAGAATAATTACTCTCACAGAAATTAAGATCATATTAGCATAATCTTATGACTGATCATCAATCATGATTTTCATTTTCATTTCATTTTTTTCCGCATAATAAAAAAAAGGGGAAAAAAAAGAAAGGACAAAAAATTCAAAGTGGAAAGAGGTAAAAAAAAAAAAATTAATAATTTCTTCGACGAACCAACACATCATTTGATCCATTCATTCATTCAGAGGCAGAGAACGGTGCAGTGGAGGTCATCCCCGCCTCCGTACGCCGCCTCATCAGCATCATCCAACGGCGGCGCGTTGAGATCAAACGGCAACGGCTGACGGCGAGACGACGAGGAAGCCACGTTGTCACCGTCTCCGTCGTCGACTACCGACGACGACGAGTCGCAGTCGCTGCGGCAGTCCTCGGGGACGACGGGCGGGGTCCTGGGGTATCTCCGGGAGGCGGCTAACGGCGGCGCCGGCGGACCTGCAGGGCGAGGACCGCTGAAGGATTCAACGGTGCTGCTCATGCCGCTGGAGGTAGGTCTCCGGTGATCCTGAAAGCCTTCGGCGGCGGCGGAAGCGGCGGCGACGTAGAACCGGTGATCGGCGAATGGATCCACGGCGTCATTATGGTAAAAAGGTGGTGAGAGAGGGAAATTGGTTTTTGCCTTGGGTCCCCTGAGGGTTCTGGCGGCGGTGTCATATGCACGCGCCGCCTCCTCGGCGGTGTCGAATGTGCCAAGCCACACCCTGGCCTTCTTCAAAGGGTCTCTGATCTCAGCGGCGAACCGGCCCCACGGTCTTTTTCTCACGCCCCGGTATCTCGGCTCTTTGAAAAAAACCGGCTTCGAACCGGGTGCGTCGAGTCCGGCCGCCGCCGCAGCCGCCGGGGTGGCTCTCCTACCCATCTTCAAAGGTTGAATCTTTTTCAAATTCTAAGATGACCCAGATAATCAAACCTGTTGAAGAGGGTGCAAAAAATATGTGAAATCGATGAAATAAAGGTGTAGCCCTTGACCTTTTCTTTGGTGGTTGTTCTCACATATGGGTCATTTTGTTTAAGAGAAAGGTTGATACATGTGAGGGAGAGAAAAAAAAGAATGATGGGTTTTTCATGGATTGGAGATTGAAGAGAAGAAGAATAAGAAGATGATGGTCATGGTGATGAGATTGAGATGATAAGGAAAGGGTGGGGAAGAGAGAGAAAGAGATGAATGAGTGGTGGAGAGAGAGAGAGTTTGTGGTTGAAGGAAGGTACCATAATAAAAACACAACCCAACACCTCTTGATCTTCTTCTTCTTCTTCTACACAAAAATATATTAATAAAGATTAAAAAATGGGCTTCAAAGGGTATATAGTTTTCTTTCTTACCTTTCCACGTGGGTTTTCTCTGGCTGTGGCTGTAGCCTGTAATGTCCCTGCTTTATTTTTTCTTTTAAATTTAAATTTTCCTTTTCCTCTATTTTATTTCAATTTTTCCATCTTTTTCTTTTTTCATTTTGTGATTTTTTCTATTATTCATCCTAATCAATTCAGAGCGATGGAATTTAATGAGTATGTGAAATGACTAGAATGCCCATGTGATTTCTACGCGTAATGGTGAGGTAAGTAAATATGAAGCGGGTGAGTTGGTGACTATCTGTAATGTAAGGTCTCTTTCATGATACCATAACCGCTCCTTACTTTTTCTTTTCTTTTTGTTCATTGGTACAGAGGGTAAAATGAACAGTGGGTGATGATGGTGTATGGTTCTTTTAATTAAATTTTCTTGCGTAAGAAGAGAAACAATAGATTTTGGATTTTGGAGAGGTGTCTACGCCAAATCCTAATAATCCAAAATTTCCTTATTTTTAGAAAAAAAAATTGTATTTTTCTGCATTCATTTTCCATTATTTCGGCGGCTAGAGAACCACAATGAATGTCATTCACAGCAGTAGAATAAGTCTTTTTTATTTGTAATTATCATCTTAACCTTCTCCAATTTTTTCTCAAAGAAAAATATTCACTCATCAATTAATGAAAAAAATAATAATGTTCTAAAAATACAAAATACAGGCATGTAGACAATATTATTATCAGCAAAAGGGAGTAATAATAATATAATCTCTATAAAATCTTAATAATAGAATTAAGAAGGAAAAAAGAGACAATAAATAAGATATATTAATTTTCTCTTTTGTAGTTTAGAATGCCCTTAATTTTGTTACATCCAACATTTTGTTATGCACTATTGTTTTGATTTTTGTATCACACTCACACTCTATATTTTGCTCTATAGACCTAAAAACTTTCCGGGCAACTATACCAAAACACGTGACTAATGTGAGCCATCTCAGTCAAGGGTAGATATTCTTAGGAGTGTATTGGATTGAGATTTTAAAAGATTTTAATAAATTATTTTTGAACAAAAAATTCGTTGGTATTCGATTAGGATTTTAATGGATTGAAAAAAGTTACGTGGTATTCGATTAAGATTTTAAAGGATTATTTTAGAATCCGTCCAAATCCGTTGGTATTCAATCAGTATTTTAAAACAATGGGATCACAATCTCGTGGTATTCAAAAATCCGACGATTTTAATGGATTTTCTATTGATGTGAATTTCGTGAGACTTTTTAGAGGAAAATATAAATAGGATGCCTCTCTCACAATCTCGTCCCAACCCCTCGGATTTCTTGAGATTCTTCTGTTGTAGTGTTTTCTTCTTCCTTTGGCAAGTTGACGGCTCGAAATTGGATTCCGCCATGGGAGGTTCGTCAAAACTACAAAAAGAGAGCATATTTTTGAGCAATTTTCATAACAAAACAACTCAGAAACAACAAACCAACGATATTTTAATATAATATATCTTAAAAATAACATATTTTTGAGCCATTTTTGAGAAATATGGGAAGTTTAAAAAGTGATTTTTCAAGCTATGCGTCGCAATTTTTCTTGGCACAAAAACGTGTGATTTTTATAATTAAAAAAATTAGAATTATTTTTATAATTAAAAAAATTGGGTCTTATAATCATATATGCATAGCTTTGATACCAAATGAAGAAGATATTTTTAACCCATTAGATATGTGAAAAGCTGTTGTTTAGTAATTTTGAATGTTTGTTAAAAATTATTATTATATTTTACTGATTGAGAAAATTATATTAGGTTTTACTTTTTTTTATTAATTTCATTGCATTTCTTTGTTATTTTTTATGGCAAAAGATTATACTTACCACCTATTTTTATTTACAACATTTTACAACCATATCTTAACTGTTGATTTCCGTCAATCAATGGTTATTATTTTTGCAAATCAAACTTATTAATTAATATTTAATTTGCAATGAATGATAACCGTTGATTGACGGAAATCAACGGTTAAGATATGATTGTAAAATGTTATAAAAAAATAGGTTGTAAGTATAACCTTTCCTTTTTGTATTGACTCTTGTAATTTTGAGTGTTTGTTAAAAATTCATATGGATTTTAAAAATTTTATAAATCCATATTGTCCTTTCAAATCTTATAAATTCTATTAAAATCCTTTAAAATTCAATTTTATGAAATCTTGATTATAGAAAAAATCTTTTAAAGAAAGTCTTTAAAGTCTCTCCAATTCTAAAATGTCTTTTAAAATCTGTAAGATTTTTTATTTCAAAAAAATCTTTTAAAATCCTAATCCAATACACCCCCTTAATCTTGCATCAAATAAAGTTTCTATATTATAGCGAAGAGCAACAATTCCTCAATTTTCTATTAGATTTCCCAATGCCTAGTTTAAGAGTACCAGGAGATAAATTGAAAAGGCTCAAAGATAACTTTTTCATATTTATCCAAAAATCACATATGCAGCATTTAAAAAAAAAAAAAAGGTAGGATCTTTTGACACCAGTGTCAAATTTGAAATTTGACACCTCATATGAGAGCCATTAGATCAAAAAAGATCAATGGCTCTGATTTGTAAGCATGTGACACCATTAATCTTTTTTGATCTAATGGCTCTCAGATGAGGTGTCAAATTTCAAATTTGACACTGGTGTCAAAAGATCCTACCTAAAAAAAACAGCAATAAATAAAGAGATGGCCGTAGAAAGATATTAGTAGCAAATCCTTTTTAGTACAACATAAGGAAAAATAAATTGAAATTATACGAAATTAAAACACTAATTTTAGATTTATTTGATGAAGATATTTCTTGATCTTAATAAATTAGCATTGTTGATAATTTTGATAATCTTGCAAAGTTAAGAAAATTCGGGCTTTCTCTGCAATTCAATCCTTATTCATGACTCGGCAAATTGTAGAACAATTGTGTGTGCATATATTACAAATTCAGAAGGAGCTTAACAAATTATATCAACCATAATATCTTCCTATCGGGGTGTAAATATATCAGGTAACTTATCAAAGTCAGCAGTAAAAGACCTCCTGAATTGGATCGATTTTGAAACAAAAAATCATCTGATCCAATCTTCTCGATTTGATCAAGTAATTATCCATTTAGTTTGAATTTTTTTCAAATCCGATTCGATCCAATTTTTTCAGTTTGAATTTGATTGATTTTTGGTTTTTTGAAAAGCCTAAAATTTGTTTCATGATTATTGTGCAAATAACATATCTTTTGTATATATTGGCTTTGTATAGTTTTTTTTTTTTGAAATACAGAAGCATCAGTAAATGATAATATATATTTTTTTGGACAATGAGATATAAAGCTCTACACAGATGAAATTTTGCTGATGGGATGTGGCTAGGTTTTTTCTTGGGTTTAGTTGATGGGTTAATGGGTCTTAGGTTTAGAATTTTTTGAACTATGATTGGGGAAAGACCGAAGTAGGTACAGGGGAATTAATATATTGGATCGATTTTCATCAACCAAACCGAAATCAAATTCAATCCAATTAAAATTTGCGATTTTTTTTCGATTTTTAGTTTTTCGATTCGGTCACCGCGATTTGAATCGGTTTGGATCTGTTGATGAACACCCTACTTCTATATGCTAAAGGATTTTGATGTCGAAAAAGACAAGAATGTGTTAGATTTTTGTAACACATTCTTTATATCTTGATATGTCATAATCTAAGCTTCATTGCATTACATGCATTTCATTTTAAAAATAATATTTTTTTATGGATAAAGTTTAAAAATAAAATATAACTAAGTCAATTAAAAATTAGTTTTAATTAGTTAGTAGTCAATTAGTTAGTCTTTTGGTAAAACAATAAAAAAAAAGTAGCTTTACAAATTAAAAAAAATTCAAAAAGAGAAAAAAAAAACATCACTTTACTAATTCCTCTTCTTTGACATGTACTTTTTCGTAGGAGCTCATCTTTATATATATAACTGCTCAAAAAAAAAATCTTTCCATTTCGTGTATACAAAAAGAAATTTTTTTTTTTACTCTCTCTCTCTCGTGCTATCACTTCTCCTATATTTACCTTTGCAAGTGTTGGGTCCTCTTGCAATCTATCAAGAAAAATGCATTTATTCCCAAGATTATGACACTTGGTCCTTTTTACAATCACTCAAGGGAAACCCATTTGTTCCCTAGAATGAAAATCACTTAGCGCAAGTGCACCCATCAAATAATAAAGGGGAGTCTTTAAGTCCCAAATTATCGTTCCCACATAGAAAGTATTGCTAACTGATATTTTAAGTTGTGTTAAAGAATAAGTTAATAGTTTTGAATTGTCCTGGATGACATTCCCAAGTATCGCAAAGGTATTTTAATTGATTAAGTGTGTGACGTGTGTTTGTAAAATACCATTTTGTGATCAATAAAATATCTACAGGTACTTCAGTCTAGACGTAGCATCTCATTGCACTAAGGGGTGTGAACCAGGATATATCACATGTCCTTCTCTCTAATTTAATTTTTGAATTTTCTGCATAGAGATTGGAAGTATCACTACTTCTAGTTTAAAAGTGTTGTAGCAGTTTCCTGATGATATATTTTATGTTGTAGCCGACTTACTTATTCTGATATATTGTATTAGAAGTATTATAAAAATTTAACTATTTTTCTTATCATTGGACATTAATCATTTTCTGATTTGCGTAAGAAAATTTATAGTTGCATTTTTACTCTCTATGAAAAGGCCAGGTACGTTTTCTATTATTATACATCATATAGAAACAAATAGGGCATATAGGGACCTTAAAAATTTATATTGAATTGAATATACATTGCTTGACTGAATTGGAAATAACAAAATTAATTTGAGGACTGTTATTCAAGTTTAATTGGCGTGTCTCTCGAACTTTATCAGTTCAACTTTCTCTAGACTTATCAATTTAAGTCCACTAACCAAAAAGTT